GTGCAAAAGCACTTAGAAGCAGTGCTCCTCGCTGAAAGGCTGGAGGGAAAAATGAGGTCGTGTGTACAGAGGACACATGAGGGTCAGATGTTTCACACTATTTAGACACCTAAATTTAGTCCCCAGCAGGGAGCTACTATCACTTTCAGCAGCACCATGGCCCTGAAACTGCATGGATCTCAACATGTGCTCCTGAGCTCTAGCTCCAGGAACTATCTGACACCGGGTGCCTCCGTGCACGGAGCCCTGGAGCTGTCACCATGCAGGACCACCCCAACCAAGGCAAACAGCGTATGGGGAAGGGAGTCTCCAGAGTAATGGAAATAGCAGCGCAGATCTCCTGTAACTGATGTTTGGGGACCTATCGAGGAAAAGCAGGCCAAGGAATGTTACTGGTTATTTTATTGCTGTCTTTGGAGCTGCCTTGTCAGTGCGGAACACAGCAATACACGTCTAGTGATTGCTGGCTGCTTTAAGAGAAGCAAGAAATTAACACAGAAAGAGCTTTTTAACCTGGCACCATCGGTAGACTGACTCAGGCGCAGTCTGAAGCTCAATGCTGTGTTCTCTTATTGGAGGAAAAAAAAAGTTTAACATATTTTTTCATCATAACAGGACATTTCCATTATATGCACAAAAATCTACTGCAGAAGTCTTAGTAAGCATTTAACTGGTAGGATAATTCATGTCAAGGAGTTCAGAAAGCTATTTAAGCTTTCTTATAGCAATGTTGTTTTTGCTTCCCAGCATGCTATTTGGTGACAGGTTATTCTAGACTCTCTTCATTGTAGTTTTCTTATGTTTGTTTTAAAACATCATATATGAGGTACTGGATATTTTTACTCTTTAGAAGTGTATAATCTCAGATTTATTTAGACCACAGTTTCTTCCAAGTAACAAAATAGCAGTGCTACCAGATCATTACTAATTTGTATGTCAGCAACACTTTTATTACTATACGTTAGCACTGCTTATGTCATATTATTCTTGCTCTTGAGGAAAATGAAAAGGAGGTAATTTTTTCAACACACTAGGGAGGATAAGAGAGGCCAAATATTGCTTTCAGGGATCTTACAAAGTATGCAAAGCCTGTTTGGTACAATTGTCCCCAGGTCATCCTCTGCCCCCTTTATCAAGCTTGTTTGTGCATGACTCGTGTCTCATTTTAAAATGCGTGAGATAGGACACACAGGCTGCACAGATCTGGTATCTTGATCTTCCAGTGGGATAGGCTTAATAGGCAGGGGAGAAGGTTGGAGGGCACCACGGGGCCCTCCCCACTGTAAGGAGAGCTCATAGTTGACAGCAAGGATCAGAACAAAACCAAATGAACGAAAAGCCCTGCAAGCCACAATCCATTTATTTGCCAAGCGACCAGATTCAAAACATACAAAAGATGATGTTTCTACCTCTGCTTCCACTCTGGGCTGAATTTGCCACGCACACTTCTCAAACACCTTTGTAGGACCACGGTCTGTAGCCACCTACACATACAAGTAGGAACCTACTGGAAGACGACCCCCCAGGTTAGGAGCACCCCAGTGCTGCATAGATCCCAGGTTTACATGCACGCTTAACCTTATGTCCAAACCTTAGGTGCTGACAGAGGACCAGAAGACTCAGTGGAAAAGGCAGATGTTTCCAACAGAGAGAGAGACCTGGGCTTGGCCCTGGGGGTGAGGCTGTGGGACTGCTCTCTTGGTCGTGCAGGCGGTTCTGCCCTGGTGGCATGTGAGCCCTGCAAACATTTACATGGTGCTTGCTGGCGTTTTTGTTGTTGTTGTTTTTAGCACGTTCTCTATGTTTGTAATTCTCATAATCCTTTCTCATTTTTCACCAGGGGTAAAATGAAGGCTGTTAGTTTCCTGTTACCAATGGATATGTCATCATATGCTGAAAATCCAGGTTCTCTCAAATGCCCTCAAAATCAGAACACAAAACAGTTAACGACCATCATTGAAAAGGATATGTGAGCTGGTGAATTTTTAAAGGCCCATTGATTCTTGAGATAAATTGGCCTTAAATGACAGCTGTGTGTCAGGTTCCTTTTCTGCAAAACACTTTGGCAGGATGCCTTTGCAGAGTCACCTAGACAGTGTTTCGGGTCACTGGCCTGTTGTTCAGCAAGGAAATGGAAGCCACGACAAAACCTGTTGGGAGCCTGTACGCCACGAGGAAACCACACGATAGCAGAGGCAGCTTCTGTGCACAACATCTCCAGGATCCCTCCCCTCGAGAGTGCTTTAAGTAGGATGATAAAGCTGGTTTTTTGCTGCCTTTATGTCACAAAGAGGCAAAAACATGTCACCTCTTGCGCTTGCTGATTCTCTTCTCAGGCACTTGTTGCAAATGATAATGAAGCTGTTGTTGCCGTTACAGAAAAAAATCTCACAGGTTCTTTATGTAAAGCTCCAAAATTTCACAATACCAATACAGCTAAGTTCACAGGGCATTACAGATTCATTTTATATTGCTCTAAAAAACCTTGAGAATTGACAATGCCTGTTAATGTCCATTTTGTGTTCATGGTCTGTGAATGCTGTTGCAAATGCTTTTAAAGATGATCATGCTCACTCGGAAAAGTGAATTTCTGAGGGAGTACTGGGGAGAAGAATGCTGAGTGGTATGACAGTGGGACTACAAACCTTTATCTGACTTGGTACGTTCACCAGGACTAGGGGCTGTACACCAAGTCAAAATAAGTAAACGTTGAACATGAGAATTTTGCATGAATGCCTTTGGAGCAAGGCTCAGAACAAGAATCTTTAGTAGAAATTCAGCAAACAACCAGGTACAAAATAAATGTGAGAAGGATCTATAGACAGTTTGTAAAATACGAGGAAAGACAGTGTCCCACATATTTAACTTGATGTACTGCATTAAACAAAATGGCTATTTCTTTAGATGCAGGCAGTATTGAAGACTGAATATGGCACAGACAATGCATGAACAGTAGAGGTTTGTATTGATAATTCTGAGGAAAGATTTCATCCCATTGCCTGCTCTTAAACAATATACTTCTCTAGAGCCTTCCAAAGTGAAAACACAGACCTGTATTAAGAAACTTCCTTGCTGATTTTCAGTGATCTTGTGCATTCTTATAAAATTATGTGCTCTGGTTTTGATTTTGAAATTCAAGATGTTTTGTACATTTAAGTATGTTTTTAATATAGTCCCACTAATGAAGTGAAATATTAATTTCACTGCTATTTATTTGTACATCTTATTTTCAGCTTGGGTCTGCATAGAGTTGCTTTGTAATGTTAGAACTAGTGGTAACAAATAATTTAAAATATAAGTCTATAGATACTTGCCCAGCAGAGAGATGAATTTCATTTGTTTGCAGTGGATGGCTACTCCAGTAAATGAGGTTGTGGCTTGGAAATTTTACTGAGCAGCTCATTTTAGAAAGCATTACAGGTAATATTTTTAAAATGTTTTAATGAAAGCTTAATTGTCAAAAACTAGATGGTACATATATGTTCAGTTAATTACCTACAGCCAGAAGATGCGCTCATAATGTGCTCCAAAGCCTAACAGGTAGGGACCACTCTAGCAAACCCTCTGAAACACTTGTAGGGTGGAAATCAGTGCTGTGCATATCCTTCTCCTTTGGCCTGAGCTACTCGCAGACCAAATGGACAGAGCCACAGAGCACCCAGACCAAGCTGGGTTTACAGCTCTAATCTCAGAGCTCTGAAAATAACTTTCAACCAGGTGAAATTTCATCATTCCATCATACTACAGAGAGGAGGAGATTCCTTTCACCAGTTTTACTTCTCTACCTGCTGCTTAAAGAAGAGCTTCACTCTTGCTGCAGATACTGACGTGGAAACGTGATACTCCAGACTGTAACAGAGCACTGACAATATCATCTCCAGTGAGTTCTTCCAATTTCAACTGAGTCTCCTGTTCACATCTCTAGACAATCCATCCATACCCAAAGATAATAAATCATTCTAGAGTGCACCTAATGTCAAACTCCCCCAGCGCACAGCGCAGTCCATTGACTTCCAGCTGGATTCATAGGATTGAGAGGACAATTTATCATGTGCCACATTGTCCACAATATTTATATCCCTTGTATTCTTCCTCCTGTATCCCTGCAGCTGAACTTCGAATTTTGATCTGCCATTGCTGATTAAGAATATATCAGAATGGCAGTCATTCATTCATCTAAAGAGCATCTGACACCAGGTGAGTGATGCTTATCTTTAATAATGTTATTTTTAAATGACATTAACAGACTTAGTTTCAAAACTGACATATGCTTCTTCTGTAGTTCTGAAATCCTACTTTGTTTAGCTGGGGAAGGAATATGAGAAATAGACAGAAACCTCGTTGGTTCATAGGTGGCTTGAATTGGCCTTCAGGACTGTGATAAATTTGATGTTAAATACTTCTGGTATATGCATTTCCTTCTAATATCTTCCAAATACAGCATGGACAGGTGGCTCAACAAGTGCACAGTGTTCTCTAATCGGTATGTGCTATGAAGTGTACGTATATTGCCTATTCATGATGGAAAAAACAGGTTTTATTAGATCTATATCTATTCTGCAGTTCTACTATGCAATGACTTTACCCAGCAAAAGACTTGTTAAGAGATTCAGTTGTTAGCATAGTTGTAATGTAGATCAAATTCCACTGATTTTATTCACAGAAGGTGTTGGTCATGCTTAAGACGAGATAGATGGTTGCTTCAGGGAATGTTTCTTTTATTGCAAATGCTCATTTGGGTAGGAATATTTCTAGTTGTATGAGTCACCTCTTTCTTGATTGCTGCTTGAGACAGCAAGAAGTGATTTTTACAGAGGGGATTTCAAAGATAAGCCAGAAGCTGAAAAATATATCTCCAATGATCCTGTAGTGTTTTCATTCTCTACAAGGAGTATTACATGGCACAGGCAGCATGATTAAAAATGAATTATTCTCCATTTTTTTCTTTTTCTTGAAAACTGCGATGGAATGCTTGCTTTCTTTCTTTCTGTTTTTTTTTTCAATAATATGTGCTGCTTGATATACAAAATCAGTCCCACTACAGCAAAATGTAGTAAATCATGACAAAAATGGCTCTGTTTAATGTAAGTCAGAAACTTAGAGTAAATTGCAAAAATTAGAGCGGACATCTCTTAAGTGTGGCTCTTCAGCAGCTGGTTTGACTTGTCCTTGGTCTAGAGGACAAGGATCATCCTCTGAATGCTGGTTACCATGGAGACTCCCGCAGCTTTTGGAATCATCAGTTTTGCCTGAAAGGAAACACTTTTTTTTTTTTAATGACCATAGCGGTTTCAGTTTGTCCACTCACTGTACAGTAGATTAACTACTACAGCCTGGTAGGAAAGGAGGGAGTTAGCTGTTCTGGGTGGTAACTAAGAAACTACCTGTTGTATCTGCAGTTTTTGCTTGATCTCTTCCTCTGAGGCTGTCTTGTGCATCTGTGGGACCATCAGTATACTTCATTGCAACAGCTGGTGGCTGGTCCTTCTCTGGCTGAGCTCGTGTAACTGAAAGAATGTCAGAAAAGGGCATCTGAATTGTATTAACATTCATTGCTCAAGGACGAGAAAATATCTGAGGTTGACTCTACCTGGCTGATGAGAACTTGGTACTGTTTCAGCCCTGCCCTCTTCAAAGGACTGAGCGGAGTCATGACCAGAATCTGACTCTTTCGGTGGCCTCCCCATAATCTCATTCTCAGTTGCAGCTTTATTCCTAACCAGGAAGTAGGTGTGCATTTTCCCCTTGCCTTTCACTTCTATTTCTCCTCTTTCAGTCATCTCAAAATTCTTGTATTTTAGGCACCTAAATTATCAGAAGCAGAAATGATACTAGTTTTTAGAAGAGCTATTATAATATAAGCAATAAAATCAGAACAGATAGGAACAACAGAATTGACCATGAAAAACTGAATCTGTTCCAACTGTTTATTCAAGTCTGCTTTGTTTTTATAAATTTTTACACATACAACCTGATCCAAAACCAGTGGATACAGCACAATCAAATACTTCAGTAGGGGAAAAGCTCCTTATTAGTTGGTAATTAGAAATAAACAATTGAGGCAGCCAATATCAGTTAGACAATTACATCTAATCATTTCATCCTAGCAGGCAATCAGGTTGGTCAAGCATGATTTACCCTTGGTAAATCCATTTTAGCTATTACTCATCACTGCTTTCTTTCCCTGCCCCAAAATGTCTGATATTGAAATCACCAGAACAAATAAAACTCTTTGCCAGCCCTGATTTTCTTTATAAGGATGCTGCACAAATCAGTGACAAAAACCAGCATCATCTATATCTGAAAGCTGCAGCTGTCCAAGACATTGTTTTTTAGCACAGCTTTTAACAGAAAAACATTTCAGCACAGCCACTCACTGATAGGCGCTGGAGCTTAGATGAATTTTACTGGGGACACCATGACTCTCCATCCGGGAGGCTATATTCACTGTGTCTCCAAATAAGCAATAACGAGGCATCTTTTCTCCAACAACTCCAGCCAAGACAGGACCTGTATGAATCCCAACTCTAATCTTTACAGAGACATAAAACACATACCCCCCAAAATTCCTGTTATTTAACATCATTATACAATATTTAACATCATTATATGTTAATATTATATATTAACATCATTATATAAAAGCATATCTTAATGCTCTTCAGTCACCTAGAAGTTCATCCTAACACAGCACTGGGGATCCATAAAATACCAAATATGCACAGAGGGAGGCTCTCTGTGAAAAATGCACCCATGTGGGCCTTGTTCAAGGTCATAGATGGGTCAAAAGAAGCTCTTTAAAATCTTACAGCAAAACATTAACCAGAAGCCTGACACACAGAGCAACTATGACACACTAAACTTTGTGTTAGCAACTTACTTGGATAGGAGTCCTGGAAACCGGGTTCTTTACTCCTTTTGCAGCTATTATCATCCCCAAGGCAAAGTTAGCAACCCGCTCAGCATGAGAGGATACAGGCACAGGGACTCCACCAACTACCATATAGGCATCTCCAATCGTCTCCACCTTTAATTGCAAGGGAATTGAATGTGACTATGGCATGTATACCCTGTTCAGGTTAGTACTTCGCTGCCTGTGGCTCTTTTTACCTGAAGCTATTCCCTCTTCCTTCTAAAAGATGTTCACAACCAGCGAGAAGCTCTGACATCTGTGATTTTTCTTGAGCTGGGAGCTGTTCCTTAAATCCACACGAAAAACGTCAATAAATTCTCTCCCTGCTTACTTGACCTACTTGAGCTATCGGTGTGAGAGGCCCTAAGGAGTCAGGGATGCTGCTGTGCAAGTGTCAGACTTCTTGCCTGCCACTTAAGTGAGGCAGACCTATGTGCAAAGGACCATTCCCAAGCACAGACCCCTGAGCCAAGAGGTAATCAGGGAGCTCAACACTGTTAATGAGTTCTCTCCAATTCACAAGTGCTGAGTGGCATTAAAAGCTTTTCTTTTCATTAATTAAAATAAATCAAGAGCATCTATTCACTGGTGATTATTATTAAGTGGTTCACATAAAAGTTAAGAATCTCTAAGGTTAGAATGTCTGCAAATGCAAAGCTTGAACTATTTGTGACCATCCTTCCCTAAAACCAGCTGTGTTCCCACAACATGCCACAGGGAGTTTGAGTGGAATTCTGAAGGGCTGGTGCTCCCTCGAGAGTCAGGCTCCTTGCAGGAAATGGCACAGCACCTGAGAAGTGCTTGGGGAGTTGACCCAGTGCCTAGGGAATTATACAGGGAACAGAGCAGGCCTGCCTGCAACAGGAATCCTCAAATGGTTAAGATTCAGTGCACCAATGCAGTGCACCGTGCATTCACACACAAAAAATTTCTAAACTGCTCTTGAGAGACATCATTGTTACATTCACCATCAGTAAATAAGAGATTAGTTTAAATTGGATTTACTGGATTTCTTTTTTTTAAAAAAAAAAGAAAGAAAGAAAAACACCAATAAGAAAGTGGAAGCAACTATAAGTATTTAGATTGTTCATTAATATAAAGACTTAACAGTTCAGCATATTAGTCTCACAAAATGTGTTCCTGTAAACATCTTCTACTGAAATAGCCTAAGGCACAGTAATGCCAGTAATCTTCTGTAACAACTTTAAAATAACTGTTAAAAAATGGAGCTACTAATGCGAATGGATATTCTAATTATTTTTCGGCTGCAGTAGGAGATTCAATTTATCAAGATTTATTCATAACTTCAGACATTTATAAGGTTGGACCAAGTTTCTTTGATCAGTTTCAATATTTCATTTCCTTCTAGAATCCCTGGAAAAGTAATCGTGTCCTCCTGCCCTCCACCCTAATAACCTCTTTCCATATAAATGGGAGTTACATACAGGCACCAAAAGGAGATTATTGTAGTGACAGATAATTTACTCATGATCTACGATTTAGATAGAATGAGATGCTAATTTCTCCCCACATCTCTGTGCCAGTTCCTGGATGCTTCAATTATTGAACAGTTTCCTTGCCAAGGCAGAAACTCCTCTGATTTCCCAGTGCAAATTGCTGCAGCATGAACCGCAAGTCTTGCCTGAGCAATGGAATGACTGAGATTTGGATTTCACCCTTTACTATTTCTGCCTACCTAAGTATTTAATATATTGGGGGCAGATACAAAATTAGGACCTGCTCTTCAGCTGCTCAAATCTGGGTAACATCTGGAGATGTTAATGGCACTTTTTTTCATATCAGATGGGGATCTGATCCTTCTAGCATATCTTGTGTTACGAGGGCTTTGAGAGAAAAGAGATGCATCAAAGAACAGCCATCCTGATATAAGCGTTGTGAAAAGAGACCCTAGGCTATGCTAGAAGTTATGTTATTGTTCAAATCTTTTAAACATGTTTAATCACAGCTCTGCATGTTTGTTAGCTTCCATAGCAAAACTGCATGTTATCCCTTTAATTAAACCCAAAATAAATAAATAAATAAAACCAAATACGTAGTTTCTCTATGATCACTAGAAAACTTAAGTTTCTCTAAAAGTTTTGGAAAGGGGATGGGAAGTCAGTGCAGTAAAACAAAACAACCCCCTCTGTTTCCAGACTGTTTCTACAGCCTTTATCAATCACTACATACCTTGTACACATCATGTACTGTGGTCAGTCTGTCAAATAGCAGGTACATCGAATTCAACATGAGGACTATCTGGATAGGCTCACATTGGGCACAGATGCTGGTAAAGGTCACAACATCACTGAACAGTATGGTGCACTCTTTGAACTCTCCTGTAAGCAGAAAGGTCAGTAGTAAGTAACTGTAGTGGCTGAGCAATCACAACATGTGTCTGAGACTTGTTTGTGAAGTTTTCCTTTTAGGACACATGACTGTTCAGTTGTAACACTCGCATACGGATATGAATGGAGAGATGCTGATACAGGGCAGCATCAAGCATGGTATATAACACATCTTGTATGATTTAGATATCTGATGCATGCATATGTCCACATTCAGGACATTCTTAGCTGTTTACTTGAAATGGACTTACTGAAGGGAGCTAAAGCATATTCTTAGGTGTTGTTCTTAAGGTAGATGTTTTCTGGAATCACAATGATATTAGGTTTTTAGATAACACAGAGGAACTAAGGATTTTCTAGGAAAGTGTTGGGTTTTTTTTATTCTTTTATTTTTGAGCTCTTGTTTCTATGTAAACCTAGGTCAAAAACAAGAGCTTGGTTTGCTGTTGAAACACTGAGTTTTGCTCCCCGAATGAACAGCTGCTGCCCCTTTTAAGCTCCTAGGAATCAAAAGTGCCCAACAGTTTCCAAATCTTTGACAGAACAGCCCAAGTTTTGTCATCGCCAACATTAAGGGACTGTCGTCCTGCCCCCTGCCACCCGTGGCTGTCACCAATCTACTCTAGGGCAGGTGACGATGGCCAAGCTGTGCCTCTGCCCCCATCTCCCTGACACCATCACGCCTGGTGCATGAATTGTACATCATGAGCGAATCCTGTCCATTCACCTGCCTCAACTCGCTTTCCCTCCTTGAGCTGGTTGGCCACGTGCTGAGGAAGCATGGCATAGAGCAGAGCTTCAGTCTTTTTCTTTTCTTCTTCCAGATGCTTCGAGAGTATCCGCAGCTCTTCCTTCTTTCTCTCCAGCTGGTTAGAGAGCTCCATCTCCGCCAGCCGCTGCTGATTGAGGAGAATCAAGTCCCTGGTCACATCATGCGGGGCAATGTCTGCAATGTGCATCTGTCGCTCTTCCAGCTCGTGCAAAGTGCGAAGCAAAGGGGAGCAGAGGTAGAGCATGCACTGCATGGGCTCCATCCAGATCATCTGGCCTGTTTAAAACAGTTATTGATGAGCACATTCAGCAGCCTGGACACTGCTCAATGTTGCTGCTGAACTAACAGATCAATTCTTAGTACAGTGGGTTTCCCGAGGTTGGGTTCATCAGAAAAATTGATCTGCACTTAGAGGTGGTCTTGTTTGGATGAGATGTACTGGGCAAATAAAAAGATTTCAGAATGAAGAAGTGAAATATTTAGAGCTGAAATTCACAGTGGTTGAAATGTGGCCCAGTGAGGCCAATGGCAAGACTTCCCTTTTGTGGAATTGGGAGCTTCCAGTCATTACAATCCTACAAATCAGCAGGCATAAAAATGCCTGAAAGGCATAAGGAGTTTTTGGCATGAGGTTGGGTTTTATTTGCTTGTTTGGTTGGGTGAAAGGGGATGTTCTTTTGGGATTTGACTATTCTTCATAAGTTGCTTCATAAGTTTTCTAAACAGCAATCTAGGGATCTCCTTGTCTGCCTTCTCCCTTTTTTCACTCCTGGGGAAATTGGATGAATAGTTTTAAAATTAACAGGCTTATGACATAACAGATGCCATGGGAATTAAACCTGAGTGAATAAGAGCAAGTAGAATGTTGTCTCTGTTTGAAGTTCCTAATTTTATTAACACTACTTTTATTCAAAGTCCCCTAAACGCTTTAATTTTTTTTTGAATGTAGGGAATATGATATTTGACAATCACCAAGTGAAGGAGAAAAGTAGGTCATAATAATATAGTTCAGAAAAGTAAAACTGAAGCAGAAAAGTCCTTTTAAGGCAAATATCCTTACAGTTAGTTACACAAAGCTGAGCGTTACTTCATACTCATTCCTCTCAATAGAAATAAATAAAAACTGCTTATAGCTATGAAGTTTTAATGGGTGAACTCCTCTATAGCACTAGAGAGGGAAAAGAAGCCAGAAATCAGAATTTGAAAATGTGATTATATAAAAATAAAAGCCTAGTTAACTAATATATTTTCTTATCCACATTTGAAAACCATCCACTAACAAGTCACTCCCCTCAAAGGTATAAATTACGATTTGAATAATGTATTCACATTTTTTAAATCAAAATGCATGGACTCGCAAGAAAAGACAATGCTTCTCCAGCTGTAGGGATTTTATCAGGAACTTGTGTTTAACCCTTCCCTCCCTCTTCTCGCCCCTTCGCTCAGCAGAACTGGAGGTGCTTGCTGGCAGAAGTCATATAGCCATTTTGGGGTGTATTGCTAGGTTGCTCATCCAGTGCTTTATTTATTTTCTTTACGTGCCAAAAGGTGTTATCCAAAGTCTGTGAGCTGGTGTTACCTGGGTCAGCTGGCTGGTTTGAAAATGTTGTTTCAAGCATAAAGATATAACTTTATCAAAGATAACTGTTAGCAATGCAAAGAAGTGACTGTTTCAGGTGCCTATGCTGACTTAGGGAAATACGACTTAGTTACTTTTATATAGCCCTGTGCACTTCCACGCTTATCCTGGTGGTTCCAAGAGCAAAAGCTATCTCTGGGGTGTCCTGGGCTTCCTTCACCTTCCACAGGTCACAATGAAGTCATAGTCCACAAGTCACCCAGGCCTTGGCTGGGTTTGGGAGATCCACCTGAGAACTGGCTGTGGGGCTCCCACCCAAAACTACTGGCAAAGCAGTTATATCTTAGAGATTGCCTCAGCCTAGTAACTTACATTATTTCTTTTCTTCTGTCCTATTGCGAATGCTAATGCACAGGGCAGCATGATGGGGATGCTCTCAGAGGTTTTTCTAGGAAACCAGCAGGACAGAGGGCCTCTGAAGTGCCTGTATATGACTGCATGCAGCATGGGGAACAAGCAGGAGGCAGCAGAGGTCTGTGTGCAAGGCTGCAATCTCTTTTGGATCAGAGAAATGTGGTAGGTAACTCACGTGGCTGGAGTAGAGGCTGGGAAGGCGAGGAGGAGATGCCTTGTGTGTGGGACAGCAGCGGGGATGCATGGAGCTCTGCCTAGGGAGACATGAGGAGGCAGTTGAGAGTTTATGAGTTAGCACTGGGGTGCAGGCCAATGTGGGCAATGCTGTGGTGAGTACCTAATGCAGACCACCTGATCGGGGAGAAAAAGTAGATGTGGCCACCTTCTGCAAACTGGAAGAACCTTCATGTTCGTGGGGGACCTGAACCAAGCAGATGACTGATGAAAGGACCACACAGTACAAACAAGCTGGGGGATTTCTGGAGGGCACCGATAAATGAATGAAGTTGATTTCTCAACACAGATGACCGAGGAGTGGACATGAGAGTGCTCTGCTGGACCAGGTACGTGCCAACAAGGAAGTGTTGGCTGGGGAATATGAAGGTTAGGGGTTTGGCCTTGGCTGCAGGAACCATGAGAAGACAGAGATCAGGATCCTGAGAAGGGAATGAGGTAAAAAGGCTCACAACCCTTAACTTTGGCCTTTTTAAGGATTTATCAGGGAGAATCCTATGAAATATGGTCCTGGAAAGAAGAGGAGTTCAGGCCAGCTGTTTGATTATTCAGTGAGTAGCTAAGGTGGCTCAAATCTAATCTAATCTTTGGTCTTGCTCCCATTACTCAGCAACCTGTGGGTACTGCAGCATTAGAAAAATGCTATATATATGTGTCTTTTAAACAAGAACACTGTCATTTCTGATTGAAAACCTTCAATATCTAGTGAGTAACATCAGAATTTGTCTATGAACACCTTAAGGTAGCGCTTCTATAAACAGAACCATCTACTGTTCTCCTCACTGCACAAAGATAAGGCCATTTATAGGACTTATGTGAAGCTAGGAGTCAATAGAAATGCATTATTTCAAATCCAGCATTATTCTTGATTTAATCCGAACACTTATGTTACTGAAAACAGTGAAGTACCTCTCAGCTCTAGCATTGGCCGCTGTTTCCATGACTCTGGCATCATCTCCCTCCTAGTCTGGAAAACAAATTGGCTATTGATAAATTTCTGAATGCTGGAGATGGTGAAGGGTACTTCTGGATGAGTGATATTGAAATAGTGATCCAGGCAGATGCCCATGGTCTGAAGGCCAGGAACAATCTTCTGAATGCTCACCCCAGCTTGCTTCACCCTGAGCTTAAAGAGAAGATGTGGACAAGGTGTTATAATTCATAGCCTATTTGCGTTCAGTCCAAGCTATAGCTGATCACTGTTTATACAAGTACCAGAGTTTGAAACAGCCACCAGCCTTGCCATACTACCTGACTTATTTCTGAGCAATGTTTACATCTTATATTACCTCAAAGCTCTGAATGAGGGTCCTTCATCACAAGATCTTATGATCCAAATGTTCTTCACTATCAATTGTTTAAAAAAACCAACCAAACAAAAAACCCACACTGCTCCTTATTCTTGGTTATGTCTAGGTCTATGTGTACATCTAATATAACGCAGCTGAACCTACTACAGTACCACAGAAAGAATAAGCAAGTACATTGTTTTGTGGCAATGTGCTGTAGGGTGATGATGCAGGGGCTAATTTTCAGCAGGCTTGCTAGTGGTCTAGCAAAAAAGGGTTCAGGCTCATCAAGCTTTCATTCTTTTCCATCATCTCACTCCTCCCTACGGAGTATCAATGTCACAGCGACTCTGGAGAAAAGTACAGAGCCTCTGTATTGTGTGTCATGGTTGTTGTGCTATCTGCCCTCTTCTGCATTTGGCAACAGTGTCAGACAGTACAGGACTAATAAGTATGAAAAAAATGGTAGCTTACTATTTATGCTATTACTGCAGATTACCTAGAAAGAAAGTAGACAAAGGAGACAGTAGCACATAAAACACAGAAGTGTCAGACAGTCGGCATAGGAAAATAACTATATGTCTTGAGCAAACTAAACGCTCTTACCACATGCCTTCCCTACCTCTTTGTCAAAAACCATATGAAAAGGAAGTCCATTGCAAAATGTTTTGGGGTCAATCCAGAGACTCTTGGGATAGACAGGATCAAATCCTCTCAAAAGTTTACCTGTGGCAAGATAAATATGTAGTTTTTAATCTTGTTGCACCTCATATAACTAATCAGCATCACTGTAGCACTCAAGTCTACTGGAACTCTAGATTTCAATGTGGGAAGACAGTGCAAGTAAAACAGGGATTCAGAGATACACGCACTTCTGTGCTCTGGAGTTTAATACACAGCTGATCACCAGCCAGTTTGATTTGGTTGAGAATTTAAGATTTCACCACAAACAAACAAAACCAAAAGCAACAACAACAAAAAGCATTGAATGTGTGACACTATGTGGAAACAATGAGAATACATGAGGAGCACAAAAACTGAAGTATCATTTTGCTTTTATTTTACTTACCTTGAGGTTTTTAAAAAGCAGAGGTTTTTAAAAGCATAATGTCTATAGAGAAGCTTATGACTTCCAGTGGATATATATTTTTGTGATGAACGTTCAGAATAAAATAGGCAAAACAATCTGAAGCACTCATCTAACCTAGACATCTCAATCCTCCTCTGTAACTCCCAGTAATCATGTGGCTGATTTTTCAAGGGATTCTTCCCACAAATCTGCCACTAGAAGGTGGTTATTTACAGTCACTCAGGTAAGTGGCGTTTGGTGACAGCTGCTCAGTTTGCCCAGAAGGCTTGTATGAGAAGAGAACGGCAATAAAGAATGAGAATTTAGGCCCCAGCTCCTGGAGCTGGAGTCCTACTGCTTCAGTGAGCAACTTACTGCTGATGCACTTATCTGTGAAATTCAGGCTCTTATTAACTCCTAGCACTTTCTTAGTCTGCGTAGTGCTGTTAAAACCTTATTATTTTAGAGTATGTTTCTTTCTCAGTGACTCTGCTCTTATATCACATTACAGCTTACACTGGGTGGTATCGTGCTCAGCTTTTCACCCCTTGTAGAATCCAGACAGTAGTGTGGTGCTGAGCTGGGCTTCCATTCCTCCAGAGGCATCCAAAGATCCCAGCAGGAAAAGCACTGGTTCCTGTTCTTGCTGTGTCCTCCCGTGAGGGAGGAGCCGAGATTACCATGTTGGCAGCAGATTTTAGGTATCAGAAGAGGTAATTTGGCTTTCAAAATTTTACAACAGTTGACAACTTTCCAAAAGATTAGCAGCTACGAGGTTAAAAAAACACTCTTAATTAATCAGCTAAGACCATCTGACATGACACAGAAGTAGAAAATGTACTTCATTTACACAAAACCACTTTTCAGAGAGAAATAAATGTATTTAAGAGATAAAAGTGACAGGCCATGCTCCATCTAAGTATCTGTAATTAATGAGCATGCTATTACCATCAGGTTTTATGATTACCATGAGTAACCAAAAGAAACTTGAGCAGACCACTCACCTCTTCCTAGTGCAATCATTCCTCTGATTTTTTTCCAGTGACTTTTCTTGACAGGACAGATGGGGCTTCCTCTACCTCTAACTGTATCAGCTTTTTCAAGGACCTGTGGAATAAATGCAAGGGGAAATTCAAGCGTATTTTATTTTAGAGATCTTTTAATGGTATAATGATAATTAATATTAAAATACCTCTTTACTCAGGTGGCTTTCAATTTTTTTTTCAGAGCCAGCAAGATACTGAGGTGAGGAAGAAAGTTTCTTTCTTTCTTTGTATGAAAATACAGGGTTTTGAGTGACAAGGAAAACAATGTGTTCTTTTTTCCCAATGTGTTCTTCTTCTTCTGCCTGATTGACTATTTCCATTGAAATATCAATGTTAAAAAAATCCAGGGCTGCTGCACCAATGATTCCTGGAGGACAAACAAAAGACAAAATATTGCCAAGAACAAAGCTATTCCCTTTTCATAGATTTTTCTGACACCAGTTCAGACAATTCCTACAGAGAGTCCTCGATGGAGTTTCACTGTTTCAGAACTCAGTATTCCCAGCAACTCAGGAAGAAAAAGGCAACTTACTGCTACCTATGTCATTCCTACTGCACTGCCATGAAAAGAATATGTGAGTAGGAGACATTTATTTTCTTTTGTCTGATGCAAAATGCTTATTTTCACTGGGAAAAGCTCAGCAGGATATCAGAAATGTGTCCTTATAGTAATATCTAACTAGTAGGAATTTCCATTAATTTAAAAGTGCAGGGAGGCTAAAAGGAGTTTTTTTTTTTCAGATTACAGAGTTGCACTATAACAATTTTCTATTTAGATATTTGTGGAAAATTTCCTCTTGCAAGAAAAGATTTAATGAAGATGCATGACCAGTCCTTTCATTTCTGCATAGGTATTAAGTGTACTACTGGACAACAGCAGTGCCGTGAAACTCTATCTGAAAATCAATTAGTTCCATGTTTTGATAGGAATATGAAATGAGTTGATAGAAGAATGAGTAGATGAGTTTTGATACCCTTTTAATTCAGAAGCATCTGTGAAATAAATACATAACTTGTACCTGTTTAACCCTTGCACAGCACAATTATCTCTCAGAGTAAAATTCAGTGTTGTGCAGAGTCCAAGAGCAGTTTTGCAAGACTGAGTGCACTTGAGGAAATGTCCATAGTGTATCTGAGTGTATGTCTTCAACACAATTTCTACTTCATTGTACTTTAGGGAGTACGAGTTCCTGAGAACTAATCAACTGTTGGGCACAAAGTACACCATGAACTTTAATTTTCCTTTCATTTTAAAAGTCTGTATTAGGAATCCTACAGGAGGAACAGAGCGTTACCACCTGGGCTGTCTGGCTGAAAGCCTTAATGAAGTCAGCGAGAGCTACAAGTGGTTGGGCAGCCAGGAGACCACCGAGCTCTGATGGTCAGATGACTGACAGCTAAACTCTGCCCGGCTTCACTACCATGCCCAGTCCTCATCCACAAATATTTGGAAACCTGAACTAACTGCACCTGCAAATAGATGCTTAGTTTGTCTATTTGCACTGTGCTACCAGCTGGTCTGTATTCTGCATTCCGGCAGATTACCTGGAACAATGTGGCACAGGCCTCTTCTGTCTGAATAGTAATGTAAATGCATTGATCCATCTCCATTCTTTTCAACTCTAAAAGATGGTGCATTCATCTCCTGAGGAAAGGACAAACAAAAACAAACCTTAAATATCTTTTCCTGATAAGGAATACTGGTAAATTCCATTTGTACAAAAGCATCCCCTACTCTAACAAAATAAGCATGCAGCATATGAGTAAGCTGACATGAAATATGCTCACCTGTGAAGGAAAATTTCCTAGACATTAAAGCCAAAGTACTGAATAATATCTAGTGCTCCAGTGCTGAGGATTACTCACAAAAATTATTTTAATAATTGTCCTAATATACAGTAGTAAGTAGTTTCAGAACAGAGAGCTTGTTATAGGTTTTTTGTTTTTTTTTTTAATCATCATTCATGCCCATGAGAGGCTGTTGCTTGTGTTAAAAACCCAGCAGAGTCCATCCATAGCTGCTCAGTGATTACAACCTGAACTTGCCTGGTAAGAAAGGGAGAGGTAGCTGTGCAGCGCATCCAGGTTCTCTATGAACTCGTGGAGATTTCCGCCCAGCGTTCTCAGCATGTGGTCATAGCCAGAACGCTTGCAAAATTCAAAGAAATACTCTCCAAACTGCCTCAGTACCGTGTCAGCAGGACGCTAAAATAAAGATATCTTAATTAACGTGAAAGGCTTGGGAGTTCTTGCAGTGCTGGCAGGTGGATTAATAGTGAATGCAGGAAACTGCGAACACCAGGAAGATGCTACAAGGAGCGCAAGAGGCTAAAATCCAGGCTGCACCCTCAGGCTTGGATGAGGATGGTGCCTTTTGGTGGTGCAGGGACACTTACCTAGTATTTTGCAGGCTTTATCAATGAGTTGCATTGTAACCTCATCTTTGTAAACTTCAAAAGTCAGAAAACTGTCCTCAACTCCAGCCTGGAGCCTGCAGGAGATAACACAGTATTCTTGTCTCAGGGATGCTGTAAATACAACATGCCGAGGTGACCCTACTACTTCAAGCATGATGTGGGACCTCACTGCTTTCATTAATGGTTTAAGAGTGTTACTTTAACATTACTTTAATATATTATGGCAGTATGGTAAATTTTATCATAATGTGTGATGATAGAGGGATTAGAGCACTAATCAGTCTTCTGGTCTACTGTCTTATGGCACAATGTGACTCTTTATAGGATTCCTATAGTCCTGAACAGAAATCTGCTGAAATTTTACTCTGGTCTCTGTGTCTGTTATATGTAGGTGCCTTGGTCTCTTTGTGTACTTCATTCAGGTATCTCTATCTCCTGGAAAATTCCACAGACCTCGTAAAGGAAAGATGAAAACTGAGAAGAAGATATGCTTAGCTGCTTTTCTAAAGGTACTGCAAAGAACTGACTTCAAATTGAGGGTGACATCTATTCAGCGTAATTACTTCCCAATATTGTCACTATGAGCCAGTGAGTCTATTGTACAATTGTCCGTAAGACAAAATGTCATCCTTAATTATGTAGTATAACAAATAGAGCAATCGTGACAAACTAATATCATAAGATTAACTGGTAAAGGGTAAGAAAGTTTTGCTTGTGCCCCCCCAGCTTTTAGTAATTGCTTGTACTATACATCTGCATCCATGCAGCAGAGAGAAATGACGATCCCCTGCTGCTATGTTCCTGCATCTTTTCTTTCAACAGGCTACATCCATGAGGAACACATTACCTTAATTTTTCCCATGTTTCTTCACCATACTTTTCAACCACCAGGGACTTCAGGCATGTATTTATAAATCCATACTGAAAAACAAATAGACAAACACAGAAACAATGCAGTGGGTTTGCAAACGCCATCCAAAGGCACCCTCTTCTTGTGCTTGAGCTCCCGCGACCGATTTTAGACCAGGAAAGGGA